AGAAGTGTTTCTTTCACAAGAAATGTATAAAATTAGTGCTGTATTAGACTTACGGTACCTAATTTACATACTGTACAGACGATAATAAACTCAACTTACTAGCCTAAAATCTCCGTAGCGTGTTGCCAGGCGGCAGAAAGCATATATATAATTATAATAAAGTTACAATAAATTAAGTTAATATATAATTATATATACAGTACCTAATTTATATATAATTAATATATAATTATATGTACAGTACCTAATTTATATATAATACTGTACAGACGATAGTAATCTCTCTGTAGCGTGGCGCTTGACAGCAGAAAATAGTTTGGCTGCCTGATGACGTTTTACGTAATTATAGGAGTTTTTTTACCATTTTTTACGGATACTGTCACAATTTTTTCGCAGTTTTATAGAAATCGTAATTATAGGAACCCGTTTTATAGGGGTCTACTGTACATTCTTAAGGATAATTAACTGATACTTTAAACACTGTTTTTGAACATGTTTTTTTATGTTTCTTGACACCTCTTCTATCTTATTTAGAATATATAGTTCCATTGATTAATCTTTACTGGAAATGTCAGTTCTAAACCACCATGCTTAACTGACATGACTAATGATATATATATGTATATGATTTCCATATTTATTAGCTTTGAAATCTTAGACTTAAATAAAATGTTTCCAATTTCTCCAAAATTCTGTCTTGTACTCTTCAAATCTATTTCTGCATAGCTAGAGCACATACTATGAATTTTCCTTATTCTAGGGATGGATTAATTTCACTGATCTGAGCAAAAGAAAAAAAACTCTTGAAAAACAAATGCTTGTTGTTCCTAAAGAAGCTTAGGTCTATTCCACATTTCAAAGAACTCTATTTGAATGTTCTCCTCATCAAATTCCTTTACAAAACTATATTCCAAACTTCAAACCATGTATCATGTGATTCATTCTAAAATGTTCTATGTTTAAAAATCAAAATGTTGTTAGTTGTTATTAAGTGAATATTGTTAGATTCTGTTTGGCCTGACAGTGCACAATTATGATAGATTTTTTTAATTATTAATTTATTTAATATTTTAATTCAAAATACTGAAATCACCAAAGTAATGTGGCCAAAATAATTATCATTTTAAAATATAATCTTCAAAACTTTTTAATGTGGATTTGAGATAGTGTTTGATTATGTTAGAATTACACTAGTTGATTTTTTTTTTTGACAAGAATTAGCAAACTGAATTCATATAAATCAGGATTTCATCTTTTTTTCATTGGAAAGAGCATAATTGTTAAAGGAAGGAAATAAGATACTAATTTTCTTTCCCAACAGAACTTAATTTATGTACTTATACTGGTTTATATTTCAAGTTTTTTAATTAATGAAATTTACACAGTCACAATTACATTATGGATTGAGAGAGAGAGATTCAGAAATTAGTGAAGTGAGGTGCTTCCAAGTATAAATATTCAAGTTCAAAGTCATGAAGAAACAGTCCATGTGAAAATTGAGCAGAGTTAAATTATTATTGGAATAAGGAAGTAGAAATAACTTATCCACATCTCTGTAAAAATTTGAATACTGATTGATTTTCTTCCTCTTTGTTTTATTGGTATGTGATTTTGTGGGAAGTAAATAGAAGATAATTCAGTGGTTAATGAAAGGACTTTTCTTTCTGGTGGACTTAACCTTTAATCTTTTCTCTCAAGGCTCAAAGTTGACACTTTTTTTTGTCTGGAGACTTAGACACAACTTTTACTATTACTATCTCCAGAGAAGTCTTAGTTACCTAATTTCTCTCTCTCTCTCTCTCTCTCTCTCTAAATAGAAATAATTTATTTTAATTTACTCAAATCTCAAATTTAACACTATTTTTTTATTTAATGGGAGAGCCATTAACATAAAATATGCAGCAAATAACAACTCAAGTAGAGTGAGAAATATAAATTAATAATAAAATTCTTTATATAGAATTATTTATAATAAACTTTATAATTTTTTTTCACAATATTTTTTAATCTGTAATTTAATTCAATAATGCTTTTCTTCCAGAAATTCTAAATTAAAATTAATTTATTATAATTATTAAATTATCATGAGAAGAGGCTTAACTGCCTTATTTCAGACAAATTACTTCATATCTGATTATTACCTTACTTTAATCATAGCCCAATAATTCAACAGATTGTTTATCTTTAATCAAAAATTGGGTTTGTTAGTTGTTTATTTAATTCAATAAAATATAAATTTAATATTCATTGTGAAATTGTTAACATTTTAGTATTAACAAATTTTATCAATTTTTATTTCTTTTTAGGACATGACCATAGTTTTATGTGGACTTTAGAGAGAGTAGTATCTCTGTCATTAATGGGAATGATGCCAGCTGCTTTTGTTTTCTCTCATCCCATAATGGATTATCTTGTTTCATTGGCTCTTGTTGCACATGTTCATTGGTAAAGTCATTTTACTCTACAGTATATTTAATTCTAATTTTAAAAATTTTGGCAGAGCTGGAAAATATAAAATATTAAAATTCTAATCTTTAATTGACTTATTATTTTTTATAATAATAATTATGCAAATTAACAGTTAACATAAATAAATTGCTAATAAAGAAAATACAAAGTTATATAATCTAAATAATATACAGTTCATGGTTATGATTTATATTAAATAATTCAAAAAGTGATCATTGAGAGAACTTTTAATATTGATCAAATTACTTTTACAAATGTTCACATTTGTTCGTGAATATTTCTCACAATACTTTACGTATTCATATTACATAGTATATTCTGGTATATTTTTATTCAATAAAGAAGTTTAATTAATTAAAACTACAACAACAAAGTTACAATAAAGAATTACAGTCTGTATTCAAATAAAGTTTACATAAATCATTAAATAAAAATGTAAAATTTTTGAAAAAAGATTTTTAAAGTATAATGCAAGTGTTTAACAGATCTTTCTTATAACTCTACTGACAAAATGAAAAGATAAACTAGTTAAAGGAATTTCTGGCATGGTTTTACAATTAAGAAAATTATTGTTCATCGTCATTCACTGATTTGCTTTATACTTTGTAGTTTCTTTAAGTAATTGAAAGAATTATCTAGACCTTATTAATTAACAAATAATTCGAAAGCACAAATTCTATTATAGATTGTAAGTTTATCAAAAGAAATATATATAAAACATGAGTCAGATGACAATTGTATCTATGTTGAAATATAAAATAGCTCTGTATAATAAAACATTTGATATAATTCTGAAATATATAGATATTATTCTATCTGAAGATGTTGTTGTATATACATTTTAATTTATAGGCCATATGTCATTTAAAGAAAAGAGCTAAGAACTAGACAATAAAACTTTTGGTTTTGTATAGCTATTGAAAAATATGAATTTTAACAAGATCAAATTATTAATTTTTTAGTATAATTTGTGAACTAGCCACTTATATTATAATTTATATTTTAGATGTTGTTTGTTTATTAATTAAAATAATAATCAGTAAGACCATAAAATACAAATGGACATTTTTATATGTTATCTCTGTATTTGTGTAATAAATTATCTGAATTAAGATTTAAATATTAAAACAAGAATAAAATATCAAAAATATTCTTCATAATTATTTTCTTAATTTCTTTTATAAACTTAATGATGATTTTCATTCTCGTTTGTCTTGAATTCATTAAAAGCTTGTATTCTCATTTTTTAAAGCATTTTATGAATAAGATGTGGTTTCAATGAGTTCTGTAAAATTCTTTAAGTTGTCATGATTTAAGAATTCAAAAGTATAGCCCATAATTTCCTTTCATTGTTTTGAAGAATGAAACTTGTCAGAAGAAGCTAACAGAAAAGAGAACAGATGCATTTGTGAGATTTGGGAAATTGTTTTTCGGTAGAATTTTAGCAAAAAGTCAAGTTATAAGAAACTTTTCTTTATTTCCTCCATTTCCCACAGAATTAGTTTAACTGTCAAAATCTGTCTGTTAGTAGGAGGTCTTCAAGACAACAAGCCCCCCTCATCTGGAAAGTTTTGGGGATAGAATTTTTGCAACTGATTGTTAATAGATGGGAATGTCAACTTTGAAACAATTACACGGGGAGAATATAATAACAATTAAAAGAAATAGTAAACTTTCCAACCGATTGGTTTAATTCCCACCATCCTAGCAGGCCCAGCGATGGCACATTTGGAGTGTCATCACTACAAAACATAAAGTCACTTGACCTTAAATAACACACCTGATGGGGATATAACAGCCATTCACCTGATCTTCGGGGCATTCATTTTCCAAGAAATCTTTTTACCTTGTGCCTTGTTGCCATGTGCATTACCAGATAGATCCTTCGTCTCCCCAAACCTTTGCCACCCAACTACAGACCATTAGAAAAGAAGTAGGATGATTAACCGATTTTATGTAAACTCTCTCTCTCAGTCTGTTAATTTGTAAGAGAATCATACCGTAGAAGCGGGAATTGTATCCCTAGAATCTATTCAAGTTATCTTTTAGTATTTGTATTCATTTGTAATCGTTTTACTTTGTATTAAACCCTTGTTGAATTTTAATTTTGCTCTTACTTGTGTATTGACGACCTCGCTAATCTTCCCACTTGCATTAACTAGAAGAAAATCAAAGAACACCATCCACTGACTCTGTGAATGGCCTTCATCAGGCTGATGTCAGAGAAAAGGGTTGAGCCCCAGGCGTCTCACACATTCTTCTTTCTCTTATATTATCACAAAATATGAACAGGTTTTTAAAAATTGAATCTGAGTAAATTTTATATTGAATTCACTTATGTAAAGAATATAAATTTTTATCTGTTTCATCATTTTTGTTATAATGCCAGAATGATATAATAAATTTTTGTAATGTATCCAAATAGCTAATTTCTTGTGCTTAATTATTTTGATTGAAATTTTTATCATAAGTATTTAAATAATTTTAATGTAATTTTCTGTATTTGCAAATATATGCTTGTAAAAAAATGAATGAATATTTTTCTATTTTAACACATGAATCTGTAGTTATCTATCACATATTTAATCTAATTAAAAGAAGAGTAACTAAAATGTAATAAATTTAACTAATATTTATATTTGATTTAATTTATAATAGTTCTCCACTTTCTAAAGAAGGTAAAAAAATTTTTATTTTTTATTTTTTTGACTTCTTTAGAAAATGTAAATGTTTAAATATAAAATTAATACAAATATATCTTGATTTTAAACTATATAAACTGCAATTTAAGATTTTGTTTTGAATTTTGTACTGTACTGTATTTAGTTTTATATTTGAAACTTGAAAAGAAATTGCAAATGTTTTGTATTTTAAAGTTATTTAAAGTATTGTCAACTTTAATTATATAAAATAATTTAATTTGATAATACATAATAAATATNCATGTATGTCCTTCAAGGAGGCAAGGCAAAAAATGATTAGTGACACATTTTTTTGCAAATTATATTGCAAGAAAATGTAAATTTTGGTACGGTATTAACAATTGTATCAGAACAAAAATAATGTGTTGATTAGAACATTAGTGAGGATGTAGAAGTCCACAATTGCACTGCTTACCGTTGGTATCATTTTATGAAATGGGAAGAAAATTGTATTTGATGTTTGCAGTCATACACTAATGTAGAAGCACATCATAAGCACCATACAATATTCCTGCTAATCTGACATGCAGTAAGTTTTAAAACTAAAGAGGTATAATTGTTTAGTTGTCTACTAAAAGAAAATAGATTTCAGTGTGATTGGAGGATTGACCATCTTTGGTTTTTAAAATTTTGTTATAAAAATTTACAATAAAATCTTTTTGGTTAAATTACTGGCATGAATTAAAAGATTAATGATTAAAACTTTTAAATGTTTTTTAATTTGTTTGATCAAAAACATTATTAAAGCATATAATCCTAAAAAAAATAATAATAATTCAAATACTGGAAACATAGTAGAACGGACATTTGAAATTTGCCGACTAGAATGGTCGGTTAACCGATGTGACGGTTAATCGGGGTCGGATAATCGATGCTTTAGTGTATTTATTTTGTTTGTACAAAATAAAAAAAATCATTTTTAACGATACAATAGTCTTCGTTAGGTTTAACATCAATAAAAATTCAATGCGAAGTGACACGCAACGGAGAAAAATTTCAACATAGAATAGGTTAATATATTTTTTCATACATAATCAGTTATCCGAAACATCGATTTTTTTTTCTGAACAACCCCAGTCCCCAATTGATTCAGATAAACGACGCTCTACTGTATTAGAAATTTTGTATTTAAGAATTGTTATTTAAGTTTTGTTAACTTCTTATCTGTTATAAAACATAATATAGGAAAAGGATGGTAATTGGTCAAATTTTTGCCCTCCAGTTTTTGCATTTCTTGATGTTTTGAAACTAAGAAGCCTAAAAATGTAAAAACCCATATAAAGTAAATAGTGTGTGCATATGCATGTCTGCTTACCACGTACATTTATTTTGCATTATATCTCAGAATTGGATGAATGAAAAATTTTGAAAATTGATTATTTTTATATATGTGGATTTGGGGTTGAAGGTCAAGGGAATGGAGAAATAGAGGGACCACATGTCACACATCTCCAGTGGGATCATATTTAATTAATGAAAATTTTACTTGTTATTAGCATTTACAATTTTTTTAAAATGTAATCTTTAACTTCAAAATCATGCTTTTTGCCTTTTTATAATAATTAATAATATAAAAATTATTTTAAAATAAAATCTCATAATGGATGGCACAAGACACAATTTCAACTTTGACTAGTGCTATAGTATATATTTAAATATTTTTTTTAAATAGAGATTTTTATCATAATTCAACAGAATTACTCCTTTTAAGCTTTTGTTATTACTTAAATTTTATATCATTTATTGATCATCTCAATGGTCCCCTTAACATCCTATTCAAGTGCTGGAAAAGTTGAGCAAGTGCCTTTGGCAACTTTTTTTCTATTATTACTATTGAAAATATTTCAGTTTTGTAAAAAAAGAATTATTGAATTGAAAGTATACACTAAGATTTTATTTTTTATTACAAAGATATGGTAATTGTTTAATAAGGAATCCCAAAAAAATTCTTAATATGTAGTTTTGTATGTGAAAAGAACTAGTGTAGAACATAAAAAATTAACTTTGTTAAAAATTACAGAAAAGATAGAAAAGGACTCATAACTCTCACTGGTACAATCAAAATAATGACGATTAAGATTTTAATTTAGATACATGGAATGTAATTGAGATATAATATTGGCTGAATTTTAAGATTAATGATTTAAACTTCAAAACTTCTATATATAAAATTAAAATTAAATATTTAAATAATTGCTTTTTAAATGTTTCAATATTACTATTCTTTAATGTTTCTTAAGAAATATAAATTAATGATTTTTCTGTATGATGTTCACTGGTAAACATGGTACATGGTATGATGTCCAATAGTAAACATGTACCACATATGAAATATGGTAAATAGTTGTTTACAATGATTATAGAAAAATTAATTGAATAGAAATATAATGCTACATTTGATTCTAAAATGTAAAATCTGACTAATTTTTTTTAATGTGATTGATTATAATGTTGCTGACGGAGTGTATCCTTACTTGGCTTATGTTATGGCAAGGAACAAGCTATTATTTTGGTTACATATTGTTTGTATATACAGTGGAACCTCGGTATACGTCTGCTTTAGAATACGTCCAATTCTGAATACGTCTTGTTTGGACGAAACAAATTTTGCTCGGTATACGACTTTTGTTCGGTATACGACTTAATTCAATTATACGCGCCATCTATGAACAAGTAGCACTATCGGTGTACTACACTAGACTAGACGTTCGCGGTGCTACGGTTTATAACTTTGTTAAATTTCTTCTGATTTTAATTTGTAAGTAACATTTTATTATTTTTATTAATCATGAATTGCAAAATAAAATCATGAATTTTATTATTTTTATTAATCATGAATTGCAAATAAAAAAATGACTAGAATCACAACGGAACTGAAAAAAGAGATTGTTGAGAAATATGAAGGTGGCACGCGTGTTCGAGATTTAACTGTTGCATTCCGTATTCCGAGAACGACGATATCGACAATCATGAAAAATAAAGACATTATTAAATTTGCTAACGTTGCGAAAGGGGTTAATTAAAAATAACAGTATTTGATTTTGTTAATTTTATCTGAAGATATTTTTTTTTCTTTATAAAAAAATCATATTTAAATTAAATTATTGATAACAATAAAGTTTACTAAATTATATCCATATTTTGTTTGGATCTCTGATCTTGTAGACATTCTTGCTGTACATCTGTGAATTAATAAGTCTTTGTAGTTTTCAATAAATTTACTATTTCCTGTATAATCCTTACTAAAAAAAATTTTTTCAGGTAAAATTAATGATTTTATTTATTTCAGAAATATAGATTCTTTTAATTTCAAAGAATTCAAATTTAAAGTATTTTAAACTAATATCATATAATATAATAAAGGAATTCTTTTTGTAAATTCTTTGAAATTTAATCAATACATTTTATAAAATTTTTTAAATCTAAAATTAATACTATTAATAATATTTTATTTTAATTGAAATATTCTTAATTACATAAATTCTGAATTTATTATTTCAATTTCAGGGGCATAGAAAGTGTTGTTGTTGATTATGTTCGCCCAAGAATTTTTGGATCAACTATAGCAAACGTTTCACTTGCATCTGTTTATTTCTTATCTGCTTTATCATTAGGAAGTCTGTTTTATTTCAATTATTCTGATGTTGGATTAGTGAATGCTATTAAAATGTTCTTTTCTCTGTAAGTTTAGAATCTTAATGTAATAATTTTGAAATTGATAGCTTTATACTGATAGGAATAAGGGAAAAACTAGTTTATTTCAGAATGAAAAACTACATTGAAAACTAATAAATTATTTATACAGGAATACTGTGTTTCTTTAAGACTCAATAAAAATTTCTGAAGTACCATAAAAAAACTTTATTGTGAATATTTTAAAATAGATAATTAAAATAAACTTTTGATCAGCATTTTTAAAAAGTTTCTTTCATATATCATTTAGCAGTCCATTAACTAGCATTACTTGTGGCAAAAATAGAAGTAATTTGTTACACAGCCAACATCTTTTACTAACTGATATAATTCATTGAGTAACACTAGCTAAAATACATGAATTTTCAAATGAAATTAACAAAGAAGTAACACATCATATAAATTTGTTTCAAATAAAATATTAAAAATTAAGTAAAAATGTTAAATTTATTTAGTAACTAATACAGTATTTTTAAATAGCTTCTTTTTAGAAAATTTTGTAATTTATTTTTCAATAAATAATTTCTTTATGCGAGTGATAATTTATCAAAAACAAAACAATTCATAAATAAAATATTAATTTTTAAAAATATAAATTATTTTCAGATTTATTATTCAAATCATTCTTATTCTCATGATTTTCTATTGAAAAAGTGAAATAATCTCATTTTTTTTAACTAAAAGAAATAACTTTTTAATTTCATTTCTATATTTTCATAAAATATAGAAATGAAATTAATATTGATAGTTTTTCATAAAAATATCTACTACTATCTACTGTATTCATAGTCATAATGATCCAAAAGTATTATTCTTCTTTTACATCATACATTTAAGATATATTGTAATGTAATTAGATTTACACTCAATTCTGTTTATATGGGGACATTTTTACACAATTTTGATTTAATACATTAGACTTTTTTTAAAATCTTCAAATAAATAATTCCACACTTCTTATCTGATAAATTTATAGGTGTTATTGAGATCATCATTTGATTTTAATTCTAAGAAACAGTTGTTTTCTAGATTTCTATTTAAAAAAAAAAAAATTAGAATTTTCATAAATTTAAGGCTGATACACACTCAAGTAAATTAAAAAAAAATTTTTTTTTTTTTTTTTACTTTTTCCACTCTATGGGCATTGATAGACCTTTTAATCATAATCATCATGGGTTTGATTAAAAGGCCTCTCAATGATGAGGGATGAAGCTGACTTATTTCAGACAGACCATCTCCAAAACATCATGGGATTTTTTAACTGTGCAGAATCATTCTTGGGTCCTCTTATCAAGCCAGTCTTTGGGTATGATTATAAAGTTTAATGGTTAAATGAGAATGATGTTATCATTATTCTTACTTTCACTAGATATTTTGACCAATTTATTTACAACAACATTGCTATTTCTAAAATCAAAGTTATGAATGTTGCTAGTGTTGTCTTATATGAAATATTTTATCGGAATGCTTACATGGGCAGTAATTTGTGTCATTCAGTTTATAATCCACAGTTTATACATTTGAATGAATTTAGAAACATCAATATTACCATATGCAATTTTATTCATGGTTAATGCATTCCTTTGGGAATTTTGTTAGAAATGTCATCAGAATAGAGCAATCATTGAGCTAAATTAGTGATTTATGACTGACTTGTCAGTAATTCATTTAACTTGTTTGACTTTACAAACATACCTTCTGATTAAGATTTGGAATATTTTTATGGAATATTTGAATATGTGTAGCAACAAATAGTCTTTCATTCCAAGTTCATCCTGTGATTGAAGCAGTCAGGAAAAATTTAATTAAAAGTTTGACTTGTTTTTTTTACATTTGGAATGAAAACTGTATGCAACAAAGAATAATATAAATAGAAAAAATTTACTATAAATAGATGTAAATCTATCTTAAAATATGAAAACTATTTTTATAATAATTATAATTAAACTATCCTTATTCAGACTGTTATTTATTTGAAGTCAAAGGATATAAAGAAATTCACTCATGTTTTCAAGTTCATAGGCATTCAAGTTTAAGCAATAAAATACAGTAAACATTTAAAAGTCAATTTACATTCCAAGCAATTCAAAAGTGGTATTCTATTATTTTTGTGGTAACAAGACAGCACTAATGTTAAATAGTGAAAATTAAGTTAAGATTTAAAATGAATGTAAATGAAAAAATATTTACATTCATTTTAAATCTTAACTTAAATGAAAAAATATTTGTTACAGTTAAATTTTACTATATTAAAATTTATTTACATATTATTAAGCTATTTGAATAATGTTTACTGTTATGTAGCATTTATAATAATATAAACAGCTTAATAAGAGAGAAGGATGTTTAAATGATTATAAAATAGAGAAAGATTATAGTTCTTAAAATAAATTGGTTCTGGAAAGAAGGCAGAAATGAATACTACAGATATTAATTCTATTGTAAAGGTTTAATTTGAATAATACATTTTAAACAGTAGAATCCATTTATTGTAATTACATTGGTACTTGCCTGTTCTGATTATGATAAACAACTAATAACATTAAGCTGCACAAGTAAATAAGACTATAATGAATAGAAATTAGACAGAAATTTTATTTTTATTGACCCTTACATTAAAGAACATATTAAAATTCAAAAATGTATACTTTGAAAAGTTATTTATTATTATAATTATTATTATTAATAATTCATCTGATGATGTGTGTCTGCTGTTTTTGAAATATCATTGTTAACAAAAGTTAACATAAAGTAGAAAAAAATGTTAGCAACTCCATACTACTATACTGCATGCAAACAATTGTGGTGATTGTGCTTTTCAGCCACATATCAAGGCTGATAAAAAATATAATAACAAAACAGGTGGAAAATCAGAATTCCTGGTTATGAATGTTAAGTAAGTAAAATGAAGAAATGCGAGATTGAGAATCATTTGTTATAGTTTAAAATTTTTTTTTAGTAATTCAATAGTGGTGATATGTAAATATGAGTTTAATTACAGAAATATTTCATTTAAAATTTAAATTAGAAACATAAATAGAAAAATTTGTTTTAATATAAATTTTCAAACAGTTTATAAAAGAATACTTAAAACTTGAAAAAGAGCACTTCAAAAAGAAACAATCTTAATTTTGATAAATCCAACACAAATTTAATGAACAAACATTTTCAGCCTATTTATAGGCAATCATCAAGTCAAAGTTACAACCTACATATTCCAATGTTTTGAATTTATAACATTCATTATGTACAGTACATTCTAAAATATAATGAAAAATCTTTAGGTTGTAATTTTGACCTGATGTTGGCCTATACCTTGCTTCTCGCATGGCTATTGTATTTCACTGTACCAGTATTATGTTTACTACTACACTCATTTCAGAAGCCCTCTGAACCCTTCTTCTAGTTCAGAATCTCAGACAATCCCTGAAGTAAAGACATTCTACAGTGAAAGCTAACATCATCGCTTCATGTCTTGTGCTAGTTATGGCAACAACATGTCATATCCATGTAAGAACATGTTTATATTTATTTGATATCTTGGAAACAAAACACAAAATGACATGTTGTACAATACATTGAATTGTTAATGAATAACTTTTCATCACTGAGATGTTCATCTCTGATTTCTAATACTATATAATAATTCAAATCTTATGGCTTCATCTTGATACTAAATAAATTTATGGGAAAAATTTCAAATATTTATTTAGTTTATATTTTTATATTTAGAAAAAATTGTAACTCTAATCAATATGTGGATAAATATTTGACACTTTCCTATTTAATCAGTGTTTAATAATGTATTTCATTGTATTGCTAATCAGATCTGGTTGATATTATTTTTGAAATTTGAGAATAATTATGTACTTAAATGGAAAACATTTTGATAATTAAAATTGAATGCTCACTTGGCTTTAAATATGTTTATTACAAATTTATTTTAAACTTACAGGTAAGTTTATTTGATATATGTTTAAAATAAAATTTGTTTTAATATAAATTTTCAAACAGTTTATAAAAGAATACTTAAAACTTGAAAAAGAGCACTTCAAAAAGAAACAATCTTAATTTTGATAAATCCAACACAAATTTAATGAACAAACATTTTCAGCCTATTTATAGGCAATCATCAAGTCAAAGTTACAACCTACATATTCCAATGTTTTGAATTTATAACATTCATTATGTACAGTACATTCTAAAATATAATGAAAAATCTTTAGGTTGTAATTTTGACCTGATGTTGGCCTATACCTTGCTTCTCGCATGGCTATTGTATTTCACTGTACCAGTATTATGTTTACTACTACACTCATTTCAGAAGCCCTCTGAACCCTTCTTCTAGTTCAGAATCTCAGACAATCCCTGAAGTAAAGACATTCTACAGTGAAAGCTAACATCATCGCTTCATGTCTTGTGCTAGTTATGGCAACAACATGTCATATCCATGTAAGAACATGTTTATATTTATTTGATATCTTGGAAACAAAACACAAAATGACATGTTGTACAATACATTGAATTGTTAATGAATAACTTTTCATCACTGAGATGTTCATCTCTGATTTCTAATACTATATAATAATTCAAATCTTATGGCTTCATCTTGATACTAAATAAATTTATGGGAAAAATTTCAAATATTTATTTAGTTTATATTTTTATATTTAGAAAAAATTGTAACTCTAATCAATATGTGGATAAATATTTGACACTTTCCTATTTAATCAGTGTTTAATAATGTATTTCATTGTATTGCTAATCAGATCTGGTTGATATTATTTTTGAAATTTGAGAATAATTATGTACTTAAATGGAAAACATTTTGATAATTAAAATTGAATGCTCACTTGGCTTTAAATATGTTTATTACAAATTTATTTTAAACTTACAGGTAAGTTTATTTGATATATGTTTAAAATAAAATTTGTTTTTTACCATGTTGACTCAGTAAGTCAAATTTGAATATTTTGCATATTTTAAGCTTATATTTTGATTTTTAATAATTTATTTAAAAAAATGAAAAGTAATTAGACAAAAGCCATCAAAGAACAATATTTTATTACAAATATAATTGCACATTCATTGGTTTGATGGAAATGACACATTTGATATTTATTTACATTTTTTCATTTAATTATTTAAATTCAAAAATTTTACGCAGAGAAATTAATTAACAATATATATGAATAATTCCATTTTGTCTTGTGTAAATGGAATTATTTAACATGCTAAATGAATATGAATAATTAATAAACAAAACTTAACAAGAAATAATTATACATTTTATCTAAACTATTTGCATTTTTATATTAATATGATATACATAGAATATAAATTTAAAAATATTTGTACTATATTTTAAATTTTTGTGTTTTTATTAATTTATGACTAGAATTGAAACTTAAGTTAAATTAGTTGAAACTTACAAATCAAAGTAATTATTGGTAAATAAGATTACTGTTTGTCACTTGGTCATTTATTTCTTTCCCGTTTCATTGATGTGTATATATATTTTTTGTGCTTTTTTGTTTTTCCAAGATAAAAATCCTTTGTAAATAAATATCTAATAATAAATAAGTTTACAAATAATAAAAGAGATCAACATAAAAATAAATATATGTATATAAATTTAATGGCAAAAGCCATAGATATCTAGAAACTTTATATTTTCTACAGAATTAGTTTCAATGTTCTTTTTACATTACATTAGTTCTTGTTTGCATATGGGGCAAGTCGATCTTTCTTTTAAACTCCTTCTTAAACATGTTCCATGGAACATGTGTTTACATGGTGTAACTCTTGCACATAACATATCTTGTAAACATATTGCACAAACATCATTTTTCTCTGCTAGTTCTTTCCAGGTTGCATAGCGATACTGATCTAGATATGATCTTTCTTGTAACAGTACTTGCCAATAATGATCCATATACTTTAAACCTAAAAATACATTAATATAACAGGAAGCCAGAATCAGTGTCCAACCTGCCTCTGACCATAACCAAACAAGCGTTATCATGAAACCTGAAGCAAGAGATGTTACCAGGTGTAGAATTACTGGAGTCCAAAATATTTCCATATTTTCAAAGAATTCTAACTGTAACCATGTCAAAAAATGTGGAGCTTTTTCTTGACAAGCCTTTTCTGTTAAGATGTAATACAACAGGGTAATAGTAATATAAAGCCATTTTGGATGAAAATGCTGCATTCCTTGCTCCAAACCAAACATGATCAACATAAATACTCCAGTTATTACAAAACTAACGGCTCTGATGAAATCAAGCAAAAGTTTAGTGGCAGTGAAAGCCAAAAGTCGTACATTAGATTGTCGGCTAACTGTAGCAACGAATGGCACTTCTTCTTCATATATAGAAAGTAGTAATTTCATATATCTTGCTAAGTAACCAAAAATATTATAAAATAAAAGTGAATATAGTCCAGTGAGACGTTCTTGCGGGCAAAACCAACAGTCACATAGCATGAAAAAAATCACTTGATTTGCTAAACTAGAAAAGGCATGGGCGTGCTTAAGGGTTTGATCAGACTGTCTATTCATATTTGATGGCACAAGTTAGTTCACTTCAATATCTGTTACTATAATAAAAATATGAGTAGTTTTAGAAATATTTTAAAATATGATAAAAAAAGAAATTTTTACTTAAATAACACTAAGTGAAATAAAATATTTACGAAATTAACTTACCTATTCTTTTACAGATAATTTCACGAAAGAACCAACTTTTATCGCTCTAGAAGAGCGTTAAAATCACACAACTTGTCTTCAACTGAGCGTCGCACAAAATGACGCCGTTTCCTAACGGTACTATAATTATAGTATTTTGGAGAGCAACGTACTGTAAACATGACGCAATGAATAATAGTGTGCAACTAAATATGGACAGAACACTAATGTTTAGGTCAACAGACTACGCCAAGTATGTTCTTTTTGAAGTTCTAATCGTATTTCAACCAAAACTACTACTTTGAAAGAACCTCGTGTTTGTTATATAGTATTGCGTCATAACTTTATAGTGTAGCTGCAGTGGCAGGTTACGCAAAGATATTTAAGTGTATTTGAGAATTTTACAGTTAAAATGTTGAAATTAGGTAGACTAAAGTTTCTCCTCTTCATAAGCGTACAACGAATTTTACAGATGACGCATCCTCACGATGTTTTTCAGCTGATTTCTTTTAAACTTTTTTTAAACGAATTTTAAATTCATTCTAAAACTTCATAAATGCGTTACCTTTAACATTTTTACGACTTAATTCGTTTTCGCAAGCAATTTTAGACAAGTTTTACAAAAATAACGACTAGAACGTCACACCATCACTTGATTCACTTTGGATGACGTCATGTTTACACTTTAAAATTTTGTTTTGTTTCTACGTATGCAAGTATTACGCAATATCTTAGACAAATGTTAAAGTCATTCTAGAAGTTTTTATTTGTCATTTTTATATCTCGTATATAATTAGCATTTGGTCATTTTAACGTACAGTATTATTATGATTTAGTATTACTGTATATAAATTAAAACTAATCAAATGTTAGTCGTATAATCTGCCCTCTCATTATAAAATATATTTTATTTCCTTTTTTTTATAGTTTTATTTCGTGAAGAAAGTAGTTAAAAACTAAACATCTGTTTTGTATTTTACGTCTCGACTCTTGTAGACATTCTGTACATGTTTGTTGGTCAATGACGTGTTAGCTAAAAATACTAAAAAGTTACAAGAGTTACACTACTGTTATAACTTTCATAGAATTCTAAATATATTGATTACTAAAGGGAGTTTTTAATTAATTCATCCCAAAAGTTTTGCGTACATAACGTAAATTTCTTATGAATAGGCAAGGCCGTTGAGAGTTTGTATGAGATCCTGGATAGAACAGTCAATGGCCAAATACGTAGTGTTTCTTTATTAATAAAAATCAGTCTTCGATTTTATTTTCAATTAGAAAAAATAACATTAATTTTATAGGGGTAGGATTCCACTACGAGTTCCGAAGATTTTTCCGGGCCCGGGGAAAAATGAAAAAATCCCCAGATCCCCTCCTTTCAATGACCTTGTTTATAGGTCCTATTATAATTGAAGTTATTCATTGAAATATATTTGTGGGGAAAAATTTAACCCTTTGAGACAAAACCCGAGAAAAGAAATGTTAAACATTTTAAAAATGTGGATTAAATAAGAAAAAAAATCTGTCTTTAAATAAACTGTCTCGAGTAGACTACGTTTGACGAATCTTTATTCTCTATTTTTTTCCTGTTGACTAAATTATATTTTATTTTATTTATGCCTAATACTATTATAAAACATAGATACATCAATACTATTAATTGATACTAAATATAAAGGTTTTATACTATAGAAACTGTTAATGGAAGTACTGTACAGTACCTGGAATGCATTTTGTTTCTGTGTATCTTGACTATTAACGTAATTTACTAATAATAGAAGTACGTTTGAACTTATCGACTTTGATTCTTCTGACTATCGAAAAGCCACGTATAAATTTCTATACAATAAATTTTTTATTCAAACAATTTTTTTTGAGCGGGTGGTTATCATGAAGCAAAAAAAGATTTAGCTTTTAATTTAAATATTTAATATAGAAAGTGAATGAATAATAATGATAATAGATAATAGTAACAGTCGGTTAAAGTTTTCAGTGGTGGATCCAGAAGAACCTGTAGGGAGGCTAATTTTTGTTACTGGGGAGGACTTAAGAATGATCCACAGGAGCTGCAAGTGCTTGATAGTTTTCTACCTGCCATTACTGTCCATCTTGAATTTAAATCGAAAATATGGATAAACTTGTATATTTATGAATAAAATCTATTCGTAAATGAGGAAACGACTGTTGGTGATCTATTATATAGTCAACTGACTATATAATAGTCTAGAATATCTAAAATATATAGTCATATAATATAATAGATATGCTATTAAAGTCGATGGCCGGATGGCGGAGGCGGTTAAGGCGTCATCTACCTACCTCTTTGGGATCCTGAGATAGAATCCAAAGTTTTCGGGATTTTTTCGTGGGTGGTTCGTAGGTGATATGTCGGGCTCGTCCTTCACCACTCTGTTATCTCCATTGCGGGCTTTGGCGAACCCACGATGGGTACGATTCAAAAGATTCTTTCAGTGCTCATAGAACGGAAAGGAAAAAAAAAAATGAAATGAAAATGATCTATTAGTGTTTTTCAACCTTCTTGAATACGCGACCCCTTTACAAGTTAAAAAATTCTGGCGACCCCCCTAGGGCCATATTAAAACTATATCAGTGATTTTAAAAACTATGTATTTAATTTTCTTTCTGTTGAGACAAATTATTGTTGATTAAAATGAAAATTTCAGAAGAATCGACAATAATTTAACACACATAAAAGTATGAAACTTCCTTTAATTATAACATTAGGCACAGGGTACTGTTGACCTTTTCTTTTTGTTTTTTGTTTTTTTTTTTTAGGATCTGAATTTTCAGCTTCTACTTTTCTACTTTTTATTTGCTTTTGCAAATCAGATCAACACTTTTTCCGCTATCATTTTCTGGGGTGGGCCGTAATTCTCGCTGAAATTGTAATTTTTTTTAATGTAGTGTAGGACCTACAAACACTTGTTTTTTTCCTTCTACTCGTGACTCCCCGTGTGAGGCTTCGCGACCCCCCAGGGGGTCGCGACCCACAGGTTGACAAACACTGATCTATTATACTTATTTTGTATGACTAGTGTTTAAAGTTTACTAGAAAATATAGGCCTACATGTAGAGTAAAAACAATTTGATTGTATGCCAATGCCACAGTAATTTTATATGTAAACAATTTAATATATCGAAATATAGTCAATTGAATTTCTAAATTATTTTTAATTAATATACTAGATAGTTCAATAGTTCAATTAGTGTTAACTCGCTTATAATTAAAATTTTTAAAAAAATGTTTAAAAAGCAGGCAAATTTATAAAAATAAAAATTAATGAAATTACTAAAAAAATATTAAAATAAATTTAATATGTTTGATGCGAAACGACACTAAAACAATTTCTATAATTATATTGCAAAAGAAAAAAGAGTCGCAATTAACATGGAGTCTTCCATGGCTCAGACAGTTTCATTTCATAGTCCGTTAGTTTTATGAATAAAATTTTAGAACGCGGTGATCGATAGTTAATAGCGGTCGCTCTGCGTCTCCGCTACTACGGGAGTGCGTTGCTGTTTGTAGACATTTAGGAACGATGGTGAAAGAAAGAAAGATGGCGTCACCCGTACTATCGATAGTATTGTATTAGGGGGTCTACGATTTTCAAATATGCATTTTTAGAAACAAAAGAAGGCATATTTTAAAATTAGTCCATCACGATACTAGCAATAGGTACAGGTGCCGCCATCTATTTCTTCTCTGTCATTCACAATAGCCTGCAAAACAGTAGCGCTTGCTCGTGGTGACGGAGACGCGGAGAAACGTCTATTAACGAACATATCCATTATCCATTATCGACGATTGTGGAGAAAAAGGAACTTATCGCGAAGGATGAAAGCGATACATACGTGATGGATCTGGCAGCCATATTTAAGATGTCAAAGTTGAAGATATGAGATCAATAAATGCAATTTTCGTTTTATTATACGTATTTACGTATTGTTTTCATATTTTAATCTATTATTTAGGAAACTTAATTGTGTTCTTTTTATCTTAACACGAGACTACGATTATGTGAGTATTATGTGAGTCATAGTAACACGAGTGAGTTCAATGATGTCAATTCGAGTACAACACGAAAAGCTCGAAACTAATACCTCGTTCGCACTAAGCATTTCAATCTAGATTGTGACTAAGGTCGGAGCCAGTTCCGCGGTGCGAACGCTCTCGACCGTTTCAATCTCGACTGAAACGAGGTTCAGTCGCGATCGACTGAGAGAGTTATCGAAACTAGATCCAGTTATAAGAGAGATCCCACAATCCCACGCGCGCGAGAAAATACAAGATGCCTGTGGAACACGTGTCGGGCTATCGACAGAGAAATAAGAAAGACATCTGGAGACACGACGACATCTGTCTATTATTATATGTATGGCAAGAAAAAGTATTTATTTCTAACCAAAACTTCTATTTTGTTTGTTGGTGTTTGTGACTTACCGCGTAGTTACGTCAGTTTTATCATCGCTTGTAATAGCCAGGTTCTTCTCGAGCGGACTGCCTGTGCGAACAGCACGACGTTCGACTAGCGACAGTCACAATCCAGATTGTAGATAAATCGAGATCAAAGTAAGTCGTGGATTGTGTGCGAACGTAGTATAAGGGCCCTTATCCTTCGATACATGCATTTTCGCCAACTATTCCCAACACTCGGCAACAATAATTGCACTCAGAATGTTGGCTGCGGTAGCGTGGTGAGTGATCCGGTGATGGCATTGTCGATAACACTGGACACTGTCTCACAGCGTAAGTATTTCGTCTCCCAATCACTGAAAACTTGATTTCGACTCGGGCGATGTGGCATTTTCTTGACTGTAGTTATATGGCTTTTTCCTTACTGGACGAATGCCAGCGTACTTACTACGAACCAGCTGAATTCATGCCGGTTGTGCAACGCGCGCAGGCAAACAAATCGGTGTAATGCAAACCCCAACCTGCAACAACATTATGGAAGAAACGAGTTGGGCAAAAGCAAAGCACTTGACGTAAATTCGCAAAAGTCGTAATCGTTCCGTCGGTAGCTCAGCTGGTAGAGCGGTGGACTGTAGTGGTATAGTCATCCATAGGTCGGTGGTTCAAAGCCGCCTCGACGGACACGATTGTTTTTTTTCACGTCAAAATATATAAGAACCAATTTCCAATTTCGCGATTCTACGTGTTTCGATAACACGCTGTTGGACAAACCCGCTCGGCGAGAGTTCATACAATATTTCATTTTTCTCACTGCAGTCGTCGCGATCGAAGGCTACATTTACGGCGACAGTTCTCAATTTCGCGCAGAATTTGAAGAGAAAAACTGTAACGAGCAGTTCTACTTTTGTGCGCTGTAATTGTTTTCACGAAAGCATTCGCTCCACTCGGCCGACATAAATTTGAAGGCGTGAAAGAAGTAACAGCGCCTCGAGATGCGTCGCCTGGAAATGCCTAAAGAGAATATTAACGAAAATGCATGTATCGAATCATAGGGTTGTGCTTCGGGAGGAGGTGGCCGAGCGGTTAAGGCGATGGACTGCTAATCCATTGGATTTTATCCGCGTGGATTCGAATCCCACCCTCGTAGATAATGTGCCTTTTGGCTGCGTCTTTTTTAGGCTGCATTTACCTCGGAGTTGTGTTACAATGTCAAATGCACGCGAAGAAAAATCGCATTGTAATATTTTTCTTTAGCCTTGCAATTTTCCTATTCTTACTTAAAACTTTTTCCAAAGTCGATCGCGAATATTTAAGCATTCGTATACGACCAGCCGTATGTATACGAGTTTTTACATCCTGCATTTACAGGCGTCCCACTTCATTCTTTCTCCATGCAGGCATTCTAGTCTGTTGAGTGAGAAGTTGTCCAACGACATTTGGTGACGTCACTGTCGATTCGCCTCACTATCGTAAGTTGAAGGCAAACATCAATTAGTTTGCAAGTTCGCTCGCTGGCAGGATAATTACGAGTGTGTAAAGTTGACGGTTTCGGGATAAATTACTACATTTATCTAAACGCAATACAAACTGAAGAAATTTCAAGTGCAGTTGTTTAGTAATATGGCATCTAGAACTAACGATTAATTTTTCGGATGATATCTCGAAAATTTCGTATCTCATTTATAGTAACGGTTAGGTGAAATTTTGGGAGGACTTCAGTATTTTACTGAACGCCGATGGCATTGGTCCTCTAAAACTGCACAGAAATAGAGAAAAGTAAAATTGGCTATGTTCGTTTAAATAATAACTAAATAATGTCAGCGGCAGGTTTCATAAGTTTATTATAAGAAAATTTGTATACATTTTTATATTAGGCCTATAGTGAATTAAATTTAGTTACAGTATCCACGTTTTCCGTTATTCGGCGTAGTGCTTGCTATCTGCAACCGGATATGTGAAATATTTAACTTCCTGCTGACGTGTTAGAAGGAACACAAGAGCTAATAAAAATGGATCGCGTTTTCACAGCATCCATTATAAATGTTTTGAGTATTCTTTCGGGGTCTTATAAATCCCAATTCTAGCTTTTTCAAAAATGACTACGATGAATGACAAGACTCGTCTTTTATAGCTGCAATCGATTCCAATAAGGAAGATAAATTCTAAATATCTGGCTATGTTCGTGACATCGTGGCTAAATACAGTGACGGTATTTTCAAACAAGCCTAGGTAGGCTGTAATGAATAATGTCTGGAGTTCTTTAATTAATTAAAACGTCTGGACCCGAGACAACACGGGCAGGTTACATAGCGTTACAGAAAATGCAGTCCTTTCGGCCCCCAATTTGTTTTGATTTTTGGAATGTTTTTTTTTTTTTTGTCTTTCAAA